GATGTTTACCTTTGAGAGAATCTCATCATAAGGGATGTGAACCAGTCTTAGGCGAGCACCACTGCTACTGTTCTGCTCAACCGTGACAAACTAATTCATCGTCACTGATAGATTCATCATTACTCTGCATAACTTGAGCTATTTGATCGAGAAACGGATCTGGATCGTACTAATCATCAGCATTTAAAACAGCTTGAACATCAGAAGCCAGCGACGGTCCTCGCAGAACTACATTTAGAACACAACTTTGCTGAGATCCAACCACTGCCCTATCTATCATGCTGGCTAAGCAGTCTCTCACCCTTGCTGGCACTTGTTCTGGATCATCAAGACTTATGTCCCTAAAATCAAGGTGCTCACGCAATTCTTGGGCATTAAATTTGGGTATCTCTCTAGGGTTGACTGTTTCTTCTGGGTCTGGTCTGCACAACGGGCTCGACTACTGCAGCACCTGTTTAACACAAACATTGTGAAGGACTGCAAATTTCTTGAGGTGTTGTGTGGAGGAGAAATACTGATCATTTGTGGTGGTGGTGTAGCAGCAGCAGCAGCAGCAGCACCCAGACACCTTTGTGTGCCAGGTGCACACCCCTGAGCAGGTGTGACAGAAGCATTAGTAAAAACAGCCCCAGCAGCTGTGCCGACAGACAAGGATGTGCATCGGACGCAAGATCAGCAGCAGCTATACCATCATTAACAACAGCCCCAGCAGCAGTAGGAACAGACAGACAGACAGACAAGGATGTGCATCAGATGTTTTCGCACGAGCCCTATGAGGTCTTGTATGCAGAATATCACATTTGTTTATTATTTGTTCGGACCACTGGTTAAAAGCCTCTAAGTCAAACCATCTAGCAGGAGTGGAGGTACCGTTATTGTGTTTAAATAATTTATTAGGAGGGTCCATGATGTGGATTTGAAGTCAGGGATTTAAAATTCTGGTGCAGATGACATCTAATACGCTATAGGTTTTGTTTATTACCTCGGTGATCCTAGTTGGAGCACCGGCTATTTCTTGCAAGTGTCCCTGTGCTGCTTGTTGATGATAATTGAGTTTAGCTTCAGTCAAACATAATTTATCAACTACTGAAGCAGTGACTCTGTTCAGCAGGCGGCGAGCCTGCAACATTTAAGTATGCGTCGTATGCCTGTGATATTTGAGTCTGTTATGCAGCTTTCTTCAAAATCTGTGTGACTCATGGGTATTTCTGATACACTCTGGTGTGGTGGGTATGTGAACTAAATTGAAATCCGATATGCTGTACTCAAAAACATCACTAAAATCACGAGTCAGGCACTCACTCTGGGGTGTTGATGCATGGAGCGATGCTCTCCACAGCCTGATTTACAGCTCTTAAGTCTTAAATCATGCGCCACGACTGTAAATCAGCCTTTCTGACTGGGAAAATAGGTGTTAGATACTGCATGTGGTGCTTCAACTAATATCCCTGCTTTAATCATGTCCTCTATTACTGGTTTAATGCCTTCCTCTGCGTCAGGCTTTAACAGATATTGCTTCACTCTTGGCCTATATGAGGTTTTGGGCTTTATTACCATCGGACTTGGTGTTGTCATTAACACTACATCAGTCTTCCCCGTAGACCAGAGCTTCTCTGGGACCTGTTTAAGCTCCGGGTGTTCTGTGACATCTACAAGATATCATTCTTATGTGTCATTCTCACCCCCCTCTAAATGTGTTTGTGGTGTTGTCACCCATCCCAGCTTTTTACGAAAGATGCTGCGTTGCATGTCTGTCTCCCACCCCTCTCCAGCTTGCTGCCACGCTCTGTGGTCACCTTGCATCACTAAAGACTCTAAATCTGTCCACTCAGCCGTGCTTTACTTTGTCAGTGAAACGTGGCATTTTTCCTTTAAAGAGTTGTGCTGTTTCAGAAAGGATCACACTGCATCCAGCCATTATTTCACCATCAGTGTATATTGCTTTTATGGTGATTCTGTGGCCCTAATTTCATCACTGTCTGTGTAGGCCTCATCAGGCCCAGGCGTAGTCTTAAAATATCAGCGTAACAAATCTTCTGGTGTCTGTGTATCATGGCTTGTTGTAAACATTTCCTCAGCTGCAGCTTGCAGTTTATTTGCTCTGGTCTGGAGGCTGACAGGTCAAGTGTCCAGTAATAATGCAAATCCCCACTGTCCTGATGAACCATTGTTTCAGCAGTTTTCTCCTTTTCCTGCAGCTGTCATTCCAGTGGATGTTAGAATTATTGAAATTCCAAGTTTTATCATATCTCTTCCTAAAAGGTTCACTGGACACGTTAGACACATAACTGAACCCTGGGCTGCCTCTCGCGTGGTAGGATCTCTAATCCACACTGGTTTAGAGATTCTATGATTTAGTTGACCACTTGCAGACTTTACATAAATTGTGCCACTTGAAGGGTCAACTCCTGACACATGATCTTTCAAGACTGTTTTATCTGCCCCTGAATCATACACAAATTGAATGGTTTTGCCTTGCATACTTAACGTGCGAACTAGTTTCACTTCTTTCCCTGATAAGTTTAACAATACTTCAGTTAAATGTATGGTCTGGAGCACAGGCTGTTGATTCTGGCAACCTAAACAGTCATCTGTACATGTGTGGGTGTTGGCAGTGGCGACAGGTGCTAGTCAGTTATTGATGGGTTTTTGGGTTTGGGACGTCTATATTCTTCAGGCTGGGGCTCGGGGCAATCCTTAATATAGCGGCCCTTTCCTCCACACCCATAACACCTATCGAATTTCTTGTCCCGTTCCCCTTTTTAGAACCCAAATTTCCTCGGCCTCTCTTGCCTCCGCCTCTATTTTTTCCCCTTTCTAACCTGTCCCTAGAAAAAGATTTTATCTGCCAAGGCGGCGGCAAAGCTTTGACTTGTATTTTTGATTACTTCCTGTGCAGGGCGGGCCCAGTTCATGCATGCAATGGACCTGTCAGTGTTATGATTAACAATTGATTTCCTAATGAAATCAGCAATGGGTGGATGAAAGCTGTTCATCAGAGCATGTTTTTAACTGCTGCTGCTGCTATAAGCTATATTCTTTGAAAACTTCCTCTAATCTTTCCCTGAACTCATGGACATCCCCCTCTTTCTGCACACATTGTTGAATAGAATAGAAAACTTTATTTGTCAATTTCTTCAAGTGTACTTGCCATACAAAGGAATTGAAATTGCGTTTCACACTGTCCCATGCGTAGACATTGACAACAATAAAGTGCAGGTGCACAACAAAAACAGCCCTAACAATAAGGTAATATTAAATAGGTAACAGGATAGACAAGACCTAAAAATAAATAAAATAAAGTGTTCCAACAGTGTTCCCTGGAAAATAGTCTACTTGAGGTAGTCCCAGGTTGTGGTTGGTAGGGGTTTTTGTTTTAATGCAGCATGAGACTATAGCAGCAGTAATAGTAATATAATAATATAAATAGTGCTAAAAGAAGTGCTAAAAGAAATACTAAAAATATATAGCGGCAGGTGTGTGCAATTGCAATGCAGAGGTAGTTGTTTCCAGTCAGGAATGTTTTCCAGTTCTTGGTTCAGAGAGTGTTTCCTTGTTGGAGAGTGTGCGTGGATGGGGGGTGGGAGGGGTAGAGTCCAGTCTGTCTTCCTATACTTCTGCCAATCTGGTGATTCTGCTGGCTGGGAGCTGGGAGGGAAGAGTTCAGCAGTCTCACAGCCTGGTGGATGAAGCTGTTGGTGAGCCTGGTAGTGCGGGAGCGGAGACTTCTGTATCTCTTTCCAGAGGGCAGGAGGCTGAACAGACAGTGCGCGGGGTGGGTTGCATCGTTGACAATTGTGATGGCTTTGCGGGTGAGGCGAGTGGTGTAAATGTCTTGCAGGGAGGGGAGTGGTACACCAACTATCCTCTCAGCTGTTCTCACAATGCGTTGTAGAGCTTTCCTGTTATAGTCAGTGCAGCTACCGCCCCACACAGTGATGCAGCTGGAGAGGATACTTTCAATAGTTCCTCTGTAGAATGTGGTCAGGATGGGTGGTGGAGCACTTGCTCGCTTGAGTTTGCGCAGGAAGTAGAGGCGCTGTTGTGCTTTCTTGGCCAGTGATGCTGTGTTGGTGGTCCAGGAGAGGTCCTCACTGATGTGCACCCCCCAGGAACTTGGTGCTGCTCACCCTCTCCACTGCAGCGCCGTCGATGGTCAATGGGGGGTGACAGGTGTGGCCTCTCTGGAAGTTGACAATAATCTCCTTGGTCTTACTAACATTTAGCAGGAGGTTATTGTCTCTGCACCAAACAACAAAATCCCCCAGAGGCTTTAAAAGTGTTTCTAAGGCGTTCATAGACCCCGTCAACTTGACCTATTAAGTTTTCATGCCCATTGGGCAGGATGGTGTTGCCATCCCTCCCCGTGTAGGTGCCTCTCACCCGAGGTGTCCGACACCTCCTAAAGGTGGCTTCTGTTTCCTGACCGTTTAAGTGATACGAGGAGCAGAGCTGTTTGTGTCGGGTGATAAATGCATCAACATTGGTCAAAGGCCTAAGCCTTTACATGCCTCTGCACATCCAGACTCAGTCCATGACTTGTAAACACAAATAACACTGCTTTGGTCACCTTCAATGCCATAATGGCGGTTCGACCTCGACCACGGGATAGGTATTTACTGCATGGATGGGGTCGGGCTGCGAAGCATACCCCCCCCCCCCTTGTCCTCACCGGTTGCAGCTGAGGCTTTATAACAGCTGCGCTTACCTCACCGCCTTTATTCGTGCATCTAGTCCAATAAGGGCTTAGCAATCTGGTCATCTTGGTTGGACACGTAGGCTTCTAAGAATTTGATAGGGTTTTTTTTTTTTTTGGTTTTTTTGCTTTTTCATTTCCTAGTTTATATCTCCAAAAGTTGATTCTGTTCATCTGGACGTAGCGTTTTGTGGGAGAAACTTTTCGTCACTCATCCAAGTGACTTCTTCAGTATCAGCTGACTGCAGGTTTTCCCAAATCTTATAAACAGTGCATTTGCATAATGACTGAAACCAGCCCACTGAAGGAACAGTGGGCTGGGAGGTCAGTTCCTTAATCATAATTATGCAAATTCCCACAAAACGCTACAATGTGCTTTTAATGAAGCCTCTCACTGTTTCTTCCACGACCTCGCCAGCAGATGCTGTGATACCAGAAAACCGTTATCTCTCATGCTGCTTTTTTTTTTTTTTTTTTTTTTTTTTTTTTTTGTTAATTTTCTGTGATGTTTGGTCGCATTCTCCGTAAGAGACTTGACCGACACCCGTAACGTGGCGTTTTCGTCAGCAAGCATTTCCACCTGCTGCTGGCTGAACTTCAGGGACTCTCTCAGAGATTTAAATTCTCAATGTAAAATCTCCACCAGGGACGACCTAGCATCGAAGCTGGACAGTCGCGTGTCAATTGACTCCAGGATGTCTGCAATGTCTTTGCTGGCAGGTGATGTTGCGCCAGGGGAGTCTGCAGGGTGACGTCTTTTTGATATTGGGGTGTCGTTTTTTTGCCGGGGAAGATGCGCTCTGGGCCTTCTTCATATTCTTGAAGCACTGGTCGATGTAATCTTGGAGCACGTCTAATCTCTCCCCACTGTCCTCCAGTTTTGGAGATGATTAAGCAGATATTGTTAATTTTATGACAATTGATTGGTATATTTGGTATAATGGAAGCTTGAAAAGATGAAAATGTTTAAATTCTATGCTACCATTTACTGTCTTTCCGCTAAGTCTCCGGCCTGAATAACTTGCCAGAAACAGTCCTTTGTTTTGTGGAATTGGCTCTGTATCTTCTGTGCATGTGCACGCTTTGCTTTTCGGATGGGGCGAGAGAGGTTGGTTCTGGCTGTTCTGAGAGCTGTTTTATGTAGGCCCCGCTGTCGGTAGATTAGTTGTGGAAATTGTGCTTTTCTTTTTTTTTTTTTTCTGCCCCCCCCCCGATTCTGAGCAGGAATTGTCTGTTGTAGGTAGGCGGTGCCCATCGTACCTCGGTCGCCAAACAAAACAATACACCGTAGAAAAAAGTGAATTTTGCCAGAGCGCTATCAGCCGCTGCCTGCTCATGGTGCTGCCAGAAGTACAGTCATCTGTGGGTCATGGAGATGTAGAAGGGATTTGGGGAGGACACAAGGCTGGACAGGGTCTGGATATAAGTGGCAGAATTCCTCCAAAACAGAGCAGTCCTGACCGGTGTGCATGCAAAAGATCTGTGAGAGGTTTTTAACTCAATCAGTGTGCTTTGCTTTAGCGAACTGCCACCAGTACATGTCCAGATTTTGGGTACAGAACACTTGCTTTGTCCTTCACTGATGGACTGGTCAAGTGCCCTTTTCCTTGCTGCACTGGTGGTGCAGTCGATTGCGTGGCCCAGGACTCCTTGCACTTTCTGCACATTTGAGAGCATTATCCAGTAAGAATGAACATCTATAGGTGATGTTCCCTTGTAGACACACTGCAGTGTCAATTTTGTACAGGAGAACTGCCACATGTGCACATTTCTCTGCCACACCAGCCATGCATGTACAATGGGCACTCTCAACATCCCCATTAGATTTAAGGATAACCCAGGCTGAAGAGGCTTTTTGCTGAGAGGCACATGGAGTGATTTACCTGAAACTGTCAATACAGAAAAACATGTTTTAGAGGATACACTGTACAGTATATCTGCAGTGATTTATAAATAGTGAATTGTCTTGACAGTAATAATAAAAGTAAAACGCAATACTCTATGGTACATAGGGAAAAAAATAAATACTTTATTCTCAGAATTTATTTCCGATTTTTGTTTCATTGTTGTCCAGTACGATTAAAACGTACACTATTATTGTCACTGCTACGTTTTCTTTATTCGTACAAGAAATGTACTAATTAATTTCCATTGGCCTTAGTACTTACTCCATGGTTTTCTAATGGGTATTTATGAAGACAATTTGTGAGCTCGGTAAACTTACCTTTGAGATGTTCTACTCGGAACATCTCAAAGATAAGTTTACCAAAAGGCCATCGTCTGTACAAGGTCCTGTACCCATCTGCCGGTAAACTGGACCTGGGCTTGTTGCAGGGATCTGAAGTTACTAAACACTCCATGAGTGTATGAACTCACATTTAGGACCATATAATTATAAATATGAGCATGATGAAAGTTGAGCAGCACGCTAACATCTTTAGTCCACTCTGTATGCTCATGTGGGTCAAACCCTTTCCCTCCTTTGATTTTATTATTTAATTTTTTTCCTACCTTTTTGTTTTTTTGCCTTTTCGTCAAGTCTGTCTTTGTACCGACCTGCTGTGTTCTCCTTCGTTTTATACATAACTTTTTTGGGGGGCAAATAAAATTCAAATAAGGATTAAAACCGCAGAATGGATGGTTACCGGTGCTGGAAATGCTAAGAGATCTAAATTAAAGTCTAATACACTGTGCTCAAAAACATTGATAAAATCACAAGGCGCACACACACCCTGAGGTGCAGATGACCAGTTGCTAAAAAGGGGGTCTGGCTTTCCACTATCACACACAGCCTGTATTGTAGTTGCCTGTTTTTTGTCTTCTTCCTGTTCTATACGGCGTAAACATTCCAGAAATGTGATGGGCTCATCAAAGTTTTCATCATGCAGATGGGTCCTGTGCTGGCTGTGCAGATAAACATGTGTTAAAACATTATATATACAGTTTGCAATATGTCATTTGAAAACAGCATATACACGTGTTTGGGTTTGTTTGTTTTTTTTCCTTTTTTTTTTTTTTTTTTTCTTTGGACAAACGGTAAGTATAGTCAGTGTTATTCAGGTCATGTCCGGTTCTCCACATGCATCTGGAGGTTTTTGTGGTCAGTTTATTAACCCTGTGCACAAGTTGGAGAAAAGCACAGTTAATACATCATTAAAATAAATAAATAAAAATAAATAGAGTTGTTTAAAATACATGTTTATGTACACACCTTGTGCTTGTTAGAGGGTCTCTAACAGGCCTCCTTTGACCTACGAAAGTGGGTGTTTCTGAAGAAACAGACACGCACTATGTTAATATATGAAATAAAATATGGCGAATGATTTCTCTAACATTAGACACAGCCATCCTCTGACACAAAATAGTATCTTTGTACTATCAGTATAGTTTAAAAAAAAAGGCCACCAACCTTCCACCTGTAAAACGTCTCCTGCGCCGTTCTCACACCTTCCTAAAAGTCAAGCTTTGTGTATTCATTTTCTTTTCTAAAACAATTTATCCATTCATGAAGTCCATGTTAAAAAAAGAACGATGTTAGCCTTGCTGATCAGTAGAATGCACTGATCCGCTGCAGGTACTGAGAAAAAGATATAGGAGAGGTAAACCATGATAACTCTTGAGGGGTAGGTATTTCTATTAAAAAAAAAAAAAAAAAAAAAAAAAAAGCCTTCACTGTGTCTAGGTTGAGTGATGCCAGGGAAGTGCTAGAGTTGTCTGTCCACATAGAGCCGGTACATAGCGATGACGGCCTGGGAGCCCTTTTAAATGAAGCTGCGTCGGACTGGGAACAGGACCCTGCATCGTTTCAGGATCTCTTTGAGGAACTGGTCATTTACACTGAAGTCTGACTTTTCACCTGCTCCTTCTGTTTGAAATAGCCAGATTTGGCCACAATAGGACATGATCTCCCAGCTCCCGATTTCTTATCACTTTTGATAGAGTCCATCGTATCAGGGCTGTGTTTCACTGTGTTCTCCTCCAGCTTCAAGTGGGTTTTAATGAAGCTTTTCACCATTGCGTTCATATCCTCTCCAGCAGATTCTGAGATATGAGAAAACACAAGGTTATCTCTCATGCTACGGGCTTGCAGATCAATAGCAGTCCTTTTGTTTGTTTTGTTAAACTGTCAAGTCTCTTACCGAGAATGTGAGCCAGAGTCCCATAGCGAGGCATTTTCAGTAGCGAGCGTTTACAACTGCTGCTGGCTGAACTCCAGGGATTTTCTCAGGGATTTAAATTCCTGGTTTAAAATCTCCACCAGGGAAAACCTTGCATTAAAGCTGGACAATCGCTTATGGATAGACTCTAGGATGTCAGTAAAGTCTGTGCCGGGGAGTCTGCTGGGCGACTTCTTTTCGATGTGCACCTCCCCTTGTCGGCTGGTAATGTGGTGATGTTATGGGCTTCGCTCGGGGATGTGACAGCCTTCTTTTCTTGTGTTGTGAGATTAGACAGAACTTTTCCATTGGAGAAGGCGACTGAAATCTTCAACCTGATTTGGTCTGCTTCTGTTTTTGTTAATTTGTTAATCCTTATAACAGTTCCCGTGGCTGTAGTGAGGTCCACTATAGGCAGCTGTTAGAATAGAATAGAATTCAACTTTATTGTCATTGCACAGGTACAGGGCAACGAAATGCAGTTTGCATCCATCCAGAAGTGCTTTAGTGATATAGATATATTACAATATATATTAGCAATAATATAGATATGTAAGTATATTACAGAAATGGGTCTATTATGGTATGTTATAATGTACACGGTATGAAGTATGTTGTGAATATTCTATAACTATAAGTATGTACAGGCTGTAGTGAGTACAAGCTATGAACAGGATATAAATATGAAAAACTATACAGAATATGAAATAAATAACTTTACAGAAATCTGAGATATACAGCTATACAGAAATGGGAACTATGCAAGTTGTAAACAGTTGTAGGGTTAAAAATTATCGAATGTACAGAATGATTATTTACACAGAGCTATACAGTAGTGCAGTTAAGATAAGTGAGATATGAGTTGTGAGGGGTGGAGTATTGAATGCTGAACTGAAGTCTATAAACAGCATTCTGGCGTAGGTGTGTTGTTGTCCAGGTGTGAGAGGACAGAGTGCAGTGCGATGGAGACTGCATCCTCTGTGCTCCTGTTCTGGCGGTATGCGAATTGGTGGGGGTCCAGGGTGGGGGGGAGACAGGATTTGAAGTGTGCTAGGACCAGCTGCTCTAAGCACTTAGTGATGATGGGGGTGAGTGCTACTGGGCGGTAGTCATTGAGGCAAGATGGGTTGGAGTTTTTGGGTATCGGGACATGGATGACCGCCACACACTTGTGGACAGCTGTTGTTCAACCATGTTTCGGTGAAAAACATGACATTTGAGTCCATAATCCGTCTGTTGTTAGTGATGGAGAGCCGTATCTCATCCATTTTGTTTGCCAGAGAACGGACATTGGCGAGGAAAATACTGGGTAAAGGCAGCCGGTGTGGTGTTAGCTTTAGCTTAGCCCGTAGCCCTCCGCGCCTACCTCGCCTTTGTTTACGATCTCGGCGCCGTCTGCGTGCACTTCCGCCCGGCCGGGGAGAGTGGGCAGCCTCCGGTGTTCTGGAGATCTCTGGGATGAGTCGGAGATCGGCGATAAAACTGTTGGAGTTGTGAGTCCAGATGTCCAGAAGCTCTTGTCTGCTGTAGGTCAGCAACGCACAGCAATTCTGGACGAATAATCCGGTTAAAAGTAGATAAAAAACCGCTAAATAGCAGATTCTGGAGAGACACTGAGCCTCGCGTTGTTCACGCGCCGCCATCTTGAGTGGGAGAGAAATTACAAAATTGAGTCGTTTGGCTAGCACTTTCTTTTCAGGTTCAGTGAGATTCTTGTCTGAAAAGTTCTCACAACCAAGGACAGTCAGGAAAAATGGGTGAAGTATTGTGCCGGTATTGACTGGGGAGTTTTTATTAGCAAAGTATGGAATTTCCAGTGTTGTCGGTCTTTTCCTTTCGAATGTTGGGCTCTAAGCCTTGTCCACAAACTTGAAAATAGGGGAGGGTAGAAGTGTTGAGTTCCTGAAGAGTCTAATCCTGTTTTGGAGTGCATGTATAGTGAAATAGACCTGTCTTATCTTTTCACTTAGAAGTTGATTTTGTGCTCTCCATAAAATCAACTCCGCTCTGGTGTTCCCTGACCGTGAACACAAGGTGCAAACTCTTGGGACAAAGTCTTCTTTGTCTGCGTCTTAGGTTGAAGAGATGGTTAGGGAGTATAAAAGGGAATCAAAAACCTAGCAAATTATAGGAACCAACTGGAGAGTGTTCCTCTTATCTGAGAAGCTTCTTCAAATCTGGGACTCTCCACCAATTGCTCTTAGAACTGAAGAAGCTTCTCTGATGAGATAGAAACTTAAAGTAGTACAGATGCTTTTCTTTCAAAGTGTCACAGTCCTGGGTCGGTGACGCAGCATTTTCTGTTTTGTATTGTTAATCTTTGATTTCTTGATGTCTTTGTTTGTTCCTAGGTTTTGGTTCTGTGTCAGTATCGGGTCTGAGGTTTCTTTGTCAGTGTCCCTCATGTCAATGTAGTTCTGCCTCCTCACCTGTGTCTGCTCCTGGGTCCACCTCTCTCTTTCTCCACTCTGAGTTTTGTGTCACGGTCTGCAGGCAGACAAACTACAATGATCTCGATCAGCGGTCCCTAAGTCCCAGTCCGTGAGTCTTTTAGTACCAGGCCGCGAGAGTTGAGGCTCAGGTGTGACATTTATGTTAAGTTTTTTATTGTTTTGTTTTTTTTATTGTTTTTCGTTAACTCTTTTTCCCAGGGCCTTTTCATCGTGTGTTATGAATAATATTCTTTTTTTGGTGCTGGTTTTATTTTGTTGTATTTTTCCGTAACACCTTAAAGGCCAGTCCGTGAAAATATTGTCAGACATAAACCGGTCTGTGTCGCAACAAAAGTTGGGGACCACTGACCTGGATGACTGAGAACCATCACGTACATCCCCTTTCTGTTTATTTTTCCTCATCTTGAAAGCTGCTGTAGTTCAGCAACCACAACAGTCCTTCCCCTGTAACACTGTCCAGGAAGCAGTTTGAGGCTGAAATTGTCCCTTGGCCATTTCCATCTTCCTGGTCATTCTCCTCTAGTTGAGAAGAAAAGTGCTGAGGAGATCCCAACCGGTCACCCAGGTTCATCCAGCAGCCATCGTGCAAAAGCCACAGGGGGCTGCAGCGACAAGCCGGTAGGCTCTGCCAGAGCAGACGAATGCACCAGCAAGTGTGATGGGGTGAGACAGGCCTCCACAGTTGTGGGGGGCCTGAGATTGAGTCGAAGACCTGACCCACAGAAGCAACAGGCACGCACAGAAACAAAAATGCATTCCCAAACTCATGCAAACAAACACAAATTTTTACCCTCTAACTGGTGCCTATTGAGACAGTTGTGCTTAGTTCACAGGACATAAATCCAGGAGCAGACAAATCATAGGGATAGGTTAATGGTACATTATCAAATAATGGGCAGTTTAAAAAAACTAATGGATTAAGTAGACAGGCCATTCTTTATAATGAATAAAGAGCTCTCTGGATGTCAGAAGGGGGGTTTCCACACTTGAACAACAATTCCAGGGTGTCCAAAGGCTTGTACCTGTGTAAATAATTGAACCTTGACTGAATCAATCAATTACCGCTTTTTTTTTTTTTCCTTTCTTTCTAAATTGTGCCTCACCACAAAGCATCAGTGAAATTCTTAGTGGCCAAAGGTCAGTTAATTGCAAATACATTCTCCGGCTTGTTGTTCTTCCTCCTTCAGCTCATGAAAAACATTTGGCTGTGCTGAGAGAGAAAAAAGCAGATCGGCATTTTTGCTGTGAGACTGCTTGTGTGGCAGGAAGCGTGTAAATGGTGCTTCACATTCGTCGCAGCAGCAGTGAGCGTGAGCAGCTGACAGAAATGAGAATGAACATCACTGTTTGCGGACATGAAATGAACGCACTCTCCAGCAGCTCAGTTATGTTAAGTCTGTTTTTCTGTAGCCGAACTTAAACATGGAGCTCTGTTTGCCTGACAGCATCAAGGCCAGTGGGGAGTGGGCCAGCAGGGAGGAGGTAAATGAGCCCAGCATTCAAAAGAAGAGGGTGGAGTCGTTTAGGATGTAATGAGCTTCAACCCAGCCTCCTGTCTCTGTGTTTTCATACAGACCTTATTTTGTTAACGTCACACCCTCATATGAGCTGACATTGAATATTTCCTTCCCTCCTCCACCGCTCCAGCTGGATCGGTCTGTAGCTTAATTCATCTCTCATGTTTCAGGTTTATTTTGCTTGGGTTAACTGCTGTTTACCCTCCTCTTGTGACGACTTGGAAGTACATGTTTGTGCTCTACAGGGTGCTTTTGGACTATAATTAGAGTAGCAGGTTTGAGGTAAACAAGTCTGAATTTAGGTCATGTATTCCCAGTGTTATAGGTTAAGGTTAGTGGTGCTCCTTTACAACACAGACGCTCTGAAATTCTCTGAATTTGGATCCTGCTTAACAGTGTCTGTTACGTTTTTACTCCTTAAACAATATCTTTTTCTAAAGTGGGTTAAATGTGAAACACTCCCCAGTTGGAGTCACCTACAGCAGTTTCATCCCACATGCACATGTTAAGTCATCTACCTGCTGTCCCTTA